ATAATAATAATAATAATAATAATAATAATAATAATAATAATAATAATAATAATAACTTTATTTTTCCTACAGGTTACACCCAATTACAGGAAAAGCTAAACAAATTATAAATATAAGGTAGTACTTTGTAAGATGTAATCAACATATACGAAACAGCTATAAATTTACATTAAATTTTTCATCGTACACACGAATTATTTGGACTAAACTATCAAAATGAAGGTCACACAAAGATGATATAGAATTAAAAATAGTGCATGCATTAAAAATAGGTGATTTTCTCATTACATTAGTATTTGCAAGATCACAATAAAAGGTAACATTATGCCGAGTTTCTATCCTTGGAACAAATAAATTTAATTTTTCCAATAGAGCAGGGCAGTCGATTCTGTAGTTTATTAAATTATAAACAAAAGCAATTGCTGAACAGTTTCTTCTAAGCAATAATGACTGCAATTGGAAAGCTTGAAGCAACACCTTATTGTCTATACCTCTATCAGGATAAGCACCATTTCTTTTAAAATAAATAAACTTCAAGAACCTCCGCTGCACCGACTCTATTTGACAAATATAATTATGATATACAGGGTACCAGATAATGGATCCGTATTCTAATTTACTTCTAATGAGTGACACATATAATAATTTCATTGAATCAACATTCGAAAAGTCTCTCATATTTCTAATAACAAATCCCAAAGTTTTAGAAGCCGAACATACTACATTGTTAATATGGTCCGTAAAAGCCAGTTTAGAATCAAACAATATACCTAGATCTTTATAAGACAAACAACGTTCAATAGCAATGTTATTAATTAGATAATTATACTTTAAAACTGTCCCCCTTTTCGTGTATGAGACTATTTTACATTTAGATATATTCAGCTTCAATGAGTTTGTAGAACACCATTCATTTATCTTATTTAAATCATTTTGAAGCTTCGAACAATCATTATCTGATGTAACAATACTAAATATTTTTAGATCATCAGCAAATAATAACTTTTGACAGGTTATATCAGATGTTATATCATTAATAAATATCAAAAATAACAGCGGCCCTAAATTCGATCCTTGTGGCACTCCTGATTTGGCGATATATGTTTTTGACTTATAGCCCCCATACTCTACAAATTGAGACAATATATAATAACGAAGTTCAAAGAGATAACGAAAACACCGTCCGTTCACTTAGAAGACGTTCTACTATACTCAATACTCAATACTAAACAAAAGAGTTAAAGAGGTTCAATATAGTGAATCACCCATTACTTGTTGGTAATAGACAGTGATTTGTGCTTCTTATGTAAAATTACGAGAAGGTAAAGTGTTTGTATAGAAGTTACCACATTTAAAATACAGTCCACTTTCGCTATTCCACTCTCAATTATGAAAATCATTCTAATTTCTCTCACACACATACATTCTAAAAGAAAAACAAAAATCAATATAATAAAAAAAAAATTATTTCTATTATTTCCAGAGAATTCCACAATCGTGTGTACTAAGAAGTATTAAGCTAATGAAAATTCAACTTTTTTTTAAATTTTATGAAATGAAGTCAAACAATGTTTTTCAATACCAGAAATCTTTTTCTAATATCTGCAGTAAGGAATCTCGTTTGTGAGATTAGATTTCTTTTGCGTGACTAGATTTCTGGTAGGTATCGAAAAACATTGTTTGACTTCATTTGATAGGATTCTTAGAATTTTTTTTTAAATTATTTGTTTGAATTAGGTTAATGCCTTTAAATAGAGAAAAATTGCTGTTTTAATTGTAGATAATCATTATTCTTACAATTAGTTTTTATTACTGAAATGTGTGTGTTTTATTGTAAAAATGATTAGTGGAGAAATGTCATTTATTTTTGTAGATTCTTACTTTTATTTACCTGTATTTTTACGCATTTATGTAAACTGTGACTTAGCTGCACATTTTGTGTATAGCAATTTGTAAATAGGCAAGCGCCAGCATTTATCTATCGGTGAAGTCAGCGGTTCCAAAAAAGTTTTTATCATAGCAATGTGGTAGGTCATTAGGAATTAAATTCTACTTGTAAAAAATATTTCTGCCCATAGAGCTTTCGCATCTCGATTTATTTACTTCTCAAATATTCTTTCTAAGTTTGTAAATACCCTGTATTGTATAAGAAAACTCCATGAATCATCACATTAAATAGCGTGCCCTCAAAATCAAATCCATCGAAACCGATCCACATTATAATGGCACCTGTAATGATTCGTTTGTAATATTTTAAACTAGGATTTCAATTGCCAAAATACTGATAACCCCGGAGTCAAAGTCTGTTACTTGTGAAGAAAAAAACAATATGTTTTTCGAAACGTCTAGAGGTTTAAACCGACGACATTGCAACCAGATTGGAAGCCACAGAGGCCCACAAATCAAGATTATGTAAATGTATTTTGATTGGTTGGAAGCATAATAAAAAAATTCATGAAATTCGACAAATGAATGAATTCACTAACTTCGAAAAGCAAAATTAGCCGGCTAAAATTCCTAACTTGTTAAATAATGTATATTTAATAATCATATTTACGATTTAACATCTAGATATATAGATTTTATTTTTTATGATAAACTGTTTAAAATATTTAATATGAATGAGGACCAAGTATAAATTTATTTATAATTTATCTTCGCATTAGCATAACCGAGGACTAATGACTAAGACGTTGGAAGAAGTGTAGTCCCATTTTTGTTTCTTTTGCTTTTTATTTCAAAATTTTTAAAATTTTTAAAATTTTTTTATACTTTTTTTGTTTTTGTATTCCTTTCAAGTTAAAACAATTTTCAGTAATTATTTTCATCAGATTCATCTTCTATATTACTAGTCTCAAAAGGTGCTACATACAGATAGAATCTGCTGTGAATTGAGAAGCGCTGAGATTCGCTTCATCACCTTTTGTACAACAGTTTTATAGGTATACACTTCATGCTAAATAAGTCTTAGCGCGGAAGTCAATGAAAGTTTTTTTATACAATACAATATATTCTGTTTTCAATACAAATTGATAGTTACAAAATTTTCTGAATGGATTAAATAATAAAATTACTTCATAGATGATGGAAAAAACATGTTTCATTGATGACATCAACATTACTTACATCAATTTTCAAAAGCTTCAACAAATACTAAGTAGGCTAAGTTTAAGCTAAGCTAAGTTTGATCATTAGTATTTTCTCCATAACATTGCATATTTTATTAAAACTCTAACATTCGTGTTCATTTGTAACGTAGAAAAGAAAAATTTATATTTGATAAAAATTAAAAATTTTATATTTCCTATTTTTGGCAACCTAATGTAGATTTTCATCCACTGTGCGGCGCTCCAGATCCCCCGCACCAGACGCCGCTGCTTCCATTTCATTAATATCTGGAGTGATTGTTTTGCACCACTTTATATTCTCATTAAATTTTAATTAAAATCATAAACTACTAAGTTGCCACAGTGGTCTCTACACAGATCTGTTTTAGAGACAATATTTTAGATCTAGATTAAAGGAATTGCTTGGTTAACTGATTAGAAGAATAAATAGATAACCATAACCAGGTAACTATTTAACTATCCGTTTATTTAACCAAATATTAATTCAGACTCATTATATTATCGTTTTTAATTATTGTAATCAAGCCACTGCATTTAAAAATAGTTTTCACCAAAGTAACCCGATTAACGGACACTCGTCCATACGCCATACATCGCGCCACGAGGTGACCTAATGGGGACGATGGGAAGAGACAAAGACAACGCACGACAACCATAGAATGAGGTGGAGTCACTCAATAATGCACCAAATACGTGTTTATCTGCAGAATTTATTTAAGGAGTACCTATATTTGAGTGAAAGTACTCAGTTTTGGTTCAAATATTATCACAAATGAGTAAAATTATCAAAATGCTCAGTATCGAGTGAAAATGTACTCAATAATTTCACTCAATTGATTCACTCCGTACCTTTATTGCTTTCACTCACATGATTTTTTTACAATGTATATACCTAGTTCTCCAGAACATGATATCGATATCGATATACAGGGTGTCCCAAAAAAAATCTGCCAAAACTTTAACCGCTTATTTTTATTTCGAATATTCACACTTTTAACCAGTACTTATTTTTTTTATCTATTAAAATTCACTAATGAGCTGTCTATAATATAAAGTAATGTTTTACGAAATGATTCACCATTTTAAATTTTTTATAGCACTAACTCCTATTTTTTATCATTCTTTCTTTTATTAAATCATTTAATCGTCTCGAGTTATGCTCCACTGAGGTTAACAGAAATCTAGCCCTTTTCTGTGTTTCTTTTATTTTGTCCTTAATATTTTGAACTTTTTTTTAACTTACCTAAAGTATTAGTGATGAATGCTGGTTGCATGTTATATACAGGCGATGAGCTACACAGTTCCAGTAGGAAAGTTGCTAAAGTAACTATAACTGCTGGCAGCATCTGCAACAAATGATGAAAAATGTAAATGTGGAGAAAATTAAAAATTATTAAATCTTTACTACACATAAAGAAAAATAGTTATCAATAAATTCATGTGTGTGCTGTGAATTTGAATCACGTTCTGTTTAATGCATTAATCTATCATAATTATTACATAATATATTGTCCGTTGCATACGTTTGGATTTCATATCAATTTTTGCGAAAGAAAATTATCATTTGCAATCATTTGTTTTATGAAATTAAGGTTCATTACAGAAATCTATGTCCTATCAAATTTAACTAATTATTTAATTTTTTTATTTAAAAGTTGCACATTTATTTATTAGTAGTTAGCGATGAAATATTGGCACCAAAAGACAGCTTGTTGGAACGGATAACCATATCATTCGAAGAAGAAAGGTTGGTATATAATTAACAGCAATTACCACCACTTAAGCAAACATATGTCGTCGGTTATAGTGCCGATTTTACAAAACAGCTTCGTAGTAAATAACGTAAAAAAATATCTAATTGGGCAGAATAGTCAACCAGTCGATGACCCGCTCCTGGTGGATCATTGGCCCTGTGCGGTATACATTACACAATCGTCATTGCGACCAACATCTGCACCTCTTTTGTATCAGACAACTTACTGAAAATTATTTTAACACCCTGTTGTCAGATATAAATATATGTCTTCGAAATATACAGGGTGTTTCTGAAATAAGTATGTTCCTTAAAAAGGGTGATAGGGGCACGAAAATGAGCAACTTTTATTAAGCAACTGGTGGTCTATATGTTTTCAAAAAAAATATATTATTAAGGATATTAACCGTAAATGTAAGACGACCCTGTGCATCTTGTGCACGTGCACTGTCAAAATGCTTTGGACTTTAGACACGCGTGAAGCGCTTCTCTAATTGGCTGACGGTCCACGTGACTTCCACAATTAAGTAAATCTGATGGTAGGCCAGTATAATGTTCTGATCAAGAACTAGCAGATATGGTATTAATGTAGGGAGAATGTCAGTACAATTTAAATGAGACTTGTCGATTGTATGCGGCCCGTTACCGTAACAGACGACAACCTAACAATAGAACAGTGCAAAAGACAGGTCAAAGGTTACGGAATACCAGGAATGTCCACCTGAGATATGAAGGTCGTGGATGGGAAAGGTAACGAGAAAAACATCGTAAACCTCGTTGAGGAAGATCTGAGGCGCAGTACTCGCGACATTGACCCAGAAGTGTATCTAACAGTATAGTGTGGCATATACTAAGGGAAAAATTATTACACCCCTATCATGTGCAAAGGGTTTAGGTATTAAATTACAATGATTTTCGGCCTTGGAAATTTGCCAGTGGTTTCGACGTCAAACAGCACAAGAACCAGATTTTACAAGCAAGGTGCTTTTACGGATGAATGTTGTTTTACTAGAAACGGCGTACCTACTAAATTTTCAATAGTGTTAGAGATGTTTTAAAATCTTATGAGCTTTGACTTTCATATGCGCAGAAACATAATTCCGACCGTCGCCTAAATTATTCTACGTCCTAAAAACATTACACCTATTATTCACAGTCTCTCTCGAGCTCTAGCGTAAACAGCTAGCGTAAACAAGTCTTTGATCCGATTACAAATATCATAATAAAATGCCCTATTCTTTATTACTTTAATTTAAACAATAAAAATATATATAACGCACGTTCGCCAGTTGACTTTATTGATGCTCGAGCGCCTTAGTTCATGTCTACTTGTAATGATGCACATGATCTAGTTCTGAGTCAATGTTTTCACAACGTGCTTATTAGAAGAATTATGGGGATACGCCACGCCTTTCGCGCATTTCGCGGCTCATGAGATATTAAAAGACCTCTACCTGCACGTCTCTTTACAAATCGGTGCCCAAATCTTCTTCACGATAAGACCAAATGGCCCTGTACGTTGGCCAGTACGAAATCCATATATGAACCCTCTTGACTTTTTTGCTTGGGGGTGTTTGAAGCAAAATGTGCACCGAACGCTTATTGCCGATGCAACAGATCTTCAACAGCGTATGCCGGGAGCATTTGCACGTGTGCATTTTAACCGTCGTTTGGTAACATATTTATTAACATATGGAAACAAATTTTGTAGAGCATATCGTCTATTGGTAAGTAATTCGCTTATTCCTTTAATTTTTGTGTTACTTTTAAACGAAATTTGAATAGATTTCAGCATTTTCGAACACAAAATTTAAACCGTCAAAACCGCCATCAGAACTGTCACAGTGCGGCGCGGCAGCTTCGATGTCAAAGGTACAGCTGGCTGACGCACATAGGACGGCTTTAATTTTCTTTAAACCTTTTTTTTTTTTTTCAATTTAAAAGGTAATGTTTTACACCATCAGTTGCTTAATAAAAGTTTTTCAAGGAACGCCCTTATTTTATAAACACCCTGTATAACTGGATAATTATTTATGGAATATAGATGAGAAATATGAAATGGATCTTTAAAAATTGGCGCAACAGATATAAGAGGCTGTAAACTAATTTGATTTGATCAAGTGAGGACCATGAAGGAAGAAATGACGACTAAAAAGAACGTACGAGATAAGATAAGGAAGGTAAAGGAAGCAACAATGCCTATTTGCTATACCAACAAGCTGTATTAGATGTTATAGTCAGATGACGGAAACGGAAATGAAAAAGCAGATGAATTTACTAGTGAGATGAGTCGAACATCATGGAACTCAAAATCAGGACATATTCACTTGTTAACTGTTTCTTTACAGAAAACAACCTAATAGTGTTGAATGTGATGGAAATCAGTTTCAGATGGATCCTATTTTCTAAACAGGACACTTACTATTGAAGAAGTCTATCTACAATATAAAATTAACAGAGGGAATCTGTTGAGGTTGCAACTAGAAAGAAACTTTTGCACATAGGAAATTGAAGAAAATGCCAACTAGCTACTTAAGACTTTTTAAGAAGAAGAAGAAAAAGAGAAAATAGGAATAAACTAGAGAAACTAATCAGAACAAATTTTGAAAAAATATATAAATCAGCAACAATATTTCAAATATGTGATTCATTTTTGAAGTTTGTGACACATAATCGCCAAAGGCAAAGACTGAATTCCAATGTGTTTATTTCATGGAAAGTTTTTGTCACCGCCACAAAAAAATCTATTAACATTAACAAGCGTATCGCTGATTGAATTACCAGCGGTGACAGTTAAGCCAGAGAACAATTCCCATTGAAATGGAATTGGTCGCAAAACATTATGGCAGATATTGATTGAAGAATTCGAAATAAACAGTCTATTGTCTATTGTGCAGCATACATGTGTATTAACACACAATGAGCTAATGTTAGTTATGTTTCTGTCGATCGGTATTTTTTTTTAAAGGAATGCTGTTCCAGTGAAATACAATAACTGTTTTTTCTATGATATACATATAGGATAATTTTTCAGAAATAACTTTATTTGGAGACATGACTAGACTTATTTATTCCAAATCACTTTTAAATAACTTTAAAAATATAGTTGGGCAAAAATATTTCTGTAACATGTTGTTAGGTCAGTTAATCCAAGTTAAAATATTACTTTCTTTAGTAGACCACAAAGAGTATACAGGTGTAACTTTAAATGATGAATTTAGAAAATTTTATAATTAATTTGAATTAAGTACTGTAGAAACCTTTTATCTTTAAAATGACATAAAAATAATTATATGGGTTGATTTTATAATTTTTATTAAAAGTTCGTTTCTTCGTATTACTCTCTTTGCACTATCAGAAAGAACATTATAACTTCACTTTCATAAAGATCTGCAGGCAATAAAATACGGGTTTACCTAATCTAAGAATTTCGTTGTTGCCGTTGACATTTTGAAATATCAAGTTCAACTCGCCAGCCGACAAGCGCTAGAAATGCCCGCTTCGAACGGCAGCGCTGGAAAATTACATTTTTATTTAAATTACTTTCGATACGTAGCTCTATTTGAGCGGAAATTTCTCCGCCAACATGCGGGACGAAACGTCAAAAGTTAATTCTTCTGATAGGCTTTTTGAACTTGTTTTACGTATCCATCATCATGCGGCTATATACGTTTCCCGTGCCCACGGGGAATACAGAATAAAATTGGATTTTGTACACTGATAATAATATTTATTTTATACCCCATTTAGGATTGTCATTCTATTTATTCTACACTGCAATAGTCGGAAAAGTTCAGCTGTATTAATAACATAGCCACACAAAAAAGAAAAGTCGTCTGTACTTCTCATGCGACAAATGTTACCTGTAGTGTTTTTGCCTCCTGATCACGAATCCGGTGTCAGAATTGAGCTATCACATCACAGGAATTTCTTATCCTCAAAAAACTAGTAAAAATAGCAAAAATGTATGAAAAAGTGCTAGGAAAAATAGAAAAAATTTTTTCTATATTCAAATGTTCATTTATATAGTTAATACCCCACCCAATGTGAATCCGCGGTCAGAATTAATGATTCTTTTTCTAACCTCAAAAAAACGGGTCAATTAATGTCAGATATCACGAATTTTCAAACAATAACAGATTCGCGACAAATTTGATATACGAGGGTTTTCTGGGTCGCTGATCACGGATCCAAGGTCAATTTTGCAAATTTTCAAAAAATAACAGAATCGCAGCAAATTTGGTATACGGAGGGTTTCGGGATCGGTGACTACAGATCCGAAGTCAATTTTACAAAAATCAAGATGGTGGATCCAAAATGGCCGACTAAATTTTCAAACAATAACAGAATCGCAGCAAATTTGGTATACGGGGGTTTTAGGGGTCGCTGATTACGTATTCGAGGTCACAATTGCGAAATTCATTTTGTAATATTTTACTTTATAACCTGAGTACCCAATCATGTGTTAACCTACTTTTTTCGGCTATATCTTGTTCTTTTTTCTGTAAAAGATTTATTCACGGGTTGAATTTTGTAAATCTGATTTCGGATTCGTGATCAGTGACCTCGAAAACCCCTGTATCCCAAATTTGG